CCCCCCCCCCAAACCCCCCAACCCCCCAAACGAAACTTCTCTGTTCAAAGTTTTCTTTGCGGATTCGGGGAGATCTCGGTAAGCGCAGCAGTCCAACCATGTTTTGAAAAAAAAATAATAAAAAAAAATTGACCCAGTTTTGGACCCAACCGGAATTCCGGTTGGACCACTGGGGGTCCAACCGGTCCGGTTGGATCCGGGCCGGTCCAACTGGCCGGTTGCTGGCACAGCCATGGTATTTTACTCATTTGCTCTCTGTGAGCTTGGAACTCAGGTCTGTATTTCAACAATGCGTGGTGTACCCACTAAGTTAGGTCGCTGGTCCCCGCAAACAACCGAACACTGGTGCTGCGTCCCAAAAACGGTGACTAAGTTAGGTCGCTGGTCCCCGCAAACAACCGAACACTGGTGCTGCGTCCCAAAAACGAGACCAGCAACTAAAACAAAAAGGGAAAATAGAAGAAAAATAAAAATACGAACACCAAGAATCGGTGCTTTGGGGAAGGAAGGCTGTAAGTGCCCCCTTTCAGTTCCGTCGACCGGGCCCACGGATGGGCCGGCAACAAAACGAAGGGGGATAGCCCCGTCGGGCCCTCAACCCCTCGGCATCTTCAGCCGCTCCAATGTTCCATCACCGCCGGTCGCCGCCCTCGATCCTCGTACCTCCGCCTCGAAAGTCCATTGCCGTAACCATTAGTGTTATGCCCAAGGCTGGCATTGGCATTACGAGAAGCCCATATAAACGGGTATCGCTACACATACGGATCCGCTACTCCAAGATCACTCCTTTGGCCTGTCAACTAAGTCAATGACCATCAACCTCACGCGTCCACCGCGCGGAGGTCCCTCCTTGCGTTTTGCTCTCTCTCTCGCATACTCCAATCACCGCCAAAAAGCAACATTACTGCTTGATGTCGTCTTCTGTATGAGCGTACACGCACCATGGTTACTTCAACATAAAGAAAACTGCGCACCCACGCACTCTCTACTTTCAGTCAACCATTCAGTAAGCGTGAACAAAATGCAACCGCGACTTCGCACGGTGTACTCAATTTTTGAACAAACGTACTTTTTGTCACTTGCAAAAACCAGGGCGGATACCCTTGTAAGGGTATTCGCGCCGACACTGTGTCATGAGAATATCTAGGTATCGCGTGGGGGTTTCCGGCGTGTCCCAAGACATGGCAACCTCAGGCCCTTGCAGGTTTGGGATTTGTTTGTCCGACAACCACCATCCTATGGTCTTCTTCTAGTTAATCTTCATTTCTGAAGCCAGTCTGAACGCTTCCATTGCCCTGGACAGTGATTTAAAAGACGAATCCGATGCTCTAATCAGCACTGTCATGTCGTCTGCGAACAAAATTACTGTCGGAAACTTGAGATGATGAGACATCCTTATGTTGACCTCTGGGAGTCTGTGTATAGAGGGGTCTTTCAGTAGGAAAGAGGCAATGGCCTCCATCACAAATAGGAAGATCGAAGGAGCGAGCGGGTCCCCTTGCCTGACTGAACGTGGTATTGGGTAGCTATCAGACAGGAACCCGTTAATCTGTACACAGCCTGAGGCATCATTATACAAGACCTGGACCCATTTCCTAAAGATTGGTCCCACCCCCATGCGTTCCATACTTGCGTCCATAAAGGACCAATTGACTTGATCATAGGCTTTCTAAAAATCGAAAAAGAGTATGGCTGTGTTTATCCTCCTTTCTCTCACTTATTCGTTGCTTCGTTTAGAGTCAGCACATTGTCTAATATGTAGCGTCCCAGGACAAAGCCCGTTTGATCAATATGAAAGCATTTGTCTGTTATTTTCATGATTCTGGCAGCCAGGGTCTTGGCAAGGATTTTGTATGGGAGAGTTAGTAAGGAAATAGGTCTATAGTTCCTGACGTCATCCTTGCCCCCTTCTTCTATAGTAGTGTGACAACACTGCTACTTAGTAAGCTGCCTAGGCCCCCTTTCTCATAGCTATCTTTGTAGAAGTTCAATAAGTTCCCCCCTACATTCGGCCATAAGTTTTCCCAGAATTCCCTCGTCAACCCGTCAATGCCTGGTGCCTTGTCATTGTTCATGCTCTTAAGGGCTTGTAGAAGCTCATCCAATGATAGGGGCTTGTCCAACTCTTCTGCTTGTTCTGCCGGTATCGTTTGTTCCAAATATTGTAACATTCTTTGTCTTGCTTCCAATATTCTGCTTGGGGTATGTGTTTGGGTCTTGGTCTGATATAATTCTTGGTAGAATTCTTTAGCAATCCCCATAATCCCTTCATTAGTTTCCGTCGTCACTTCCGGGTTGCTGAGTGTTTTCAGTTTCTCTATTGTGGCTGCTCTTGTATTCGCCTTGATTCGGGCAAAGAAGTGCTTCGACATCGATTCGCTGAGTTATATATTCACGCATTCTAGCTCTTACTTGCAGACCTTTTAGCTCCCACCATTTCCAGATAGCTAACTCTTCCCGTGCTTTCTCAAATATGCGTGCAGATAGTGCTGAGGACGGGTTGTCCCTCAGGTTGTATTCCGCTATCTCCAACGCCTTCTCCAGGCTTTGCTTCCTCTGCTTCCTTATAGAGGCCAATTTCCTTGACATGTCGGCTGTTGCCTTCGCGAGTAAAGAGTAGCTCTCTATGAACCACTCCCACCGGTCATGGGTAGGTAGGCGGCTCATACCCCTCTCGCTCCAGTATTCCTTTATCCCTTCTTGGAAAGTTTGACTCAACAAGAGGGAATTGATCAATTTTTGAAAGCTAGCCCCTTTCCTTACTTGTTGCTCAAAGCAGATAGTGAGCTCGATGGGTTTGTGGTCTAGTCCTGGGTAGGGTGATAAGGGCAGGATCTCTGCCTCTTTCACCGCCCCCGAGAAGGCTGTGTGATGCGCATGGTTCTTCTTGACCAGTGAGAAAACTCTCGACGTCGGGTGCAAAATTCTGAAGGGATCTACTAGGTCATGATCTACCATCAACCTCTGGACAGGTAAGGCCTGTTGTGAGTTGTATGTGTTGGAAGATTTGGATATGCGGTCTGAAACCGGGTCTAGGGTTGCATTCCAGTCACCCGCCACTATGCACGACGTCAGAGGTGGGATTCTGGTCCCCATCTCTAACAGAAAGGATGTTCTTTCAAATGTGTTATTTGGGGCATAAATGTTGAGAAGAAAGAACTCTTCGTCCTTCCACTTTAGATGCATAGAACACCATCGACCCTTATTGAGCTCAGCTTCCTTGTTCAAAACACTACCTGCCATGTAAAAACGTGAGGAGTTGGGGATCAAGATTGCTGTGCCCTTCGTACTCGAGACGTTATTTGCCGCCCATATTTCATCTTTGATGCCTCCCAGCTTCCTTGTCACGAATTTTTTGATTCTCTTGTGTTCTGTCGAAAACGATAGATGGGTTTCTTGCAGCATTATCACATCAGCTGCTGTTTTGTTTTTAACTGTTAGTCCTTGGGCTATGTCATTCCATTTTTCTTCTTTATCTATGACATTTCCCAATCCATTCACGTTCTAACACCGAATGATGATCCCTTGATCTTTCCAGTCCCTCCGGCGCTCCCTCTCGTTTGCCATCTTCCCGAACCCCTCCATCCCTATGAAACACCCGCTGTGCCGGACCCGCCGGGATGGCGGTCCGTTAGGATGGAGACGAAGAAGGAGGTAGAGATGGAGCTGGAGGGGACAGCGCAGCTCCGACGCAGACTCCACACGCAAGTACTCCAAGATCTGCGAAAGTGAAGAATGACGAAAAACAGACTGCAGCTGGGGTATACCCCCAGCGGACTGACTGGACTGGACTGGACTGGCCTGGTACCGACCGTGGTACCGGGCGGGACTGGACTGGACTGAAACAATATACGGSCTGTGGGGTCAGGCCACGGCCTGGTCCCACAGGCCGAACTGGCAAATAGCCAAATAGGCCCTGGCTGTAGGCCAGGGCAGATGAAGGCCCGCTGCACCC